TAATTTACATGGAATTCAGCAGAACTGCAGATCAAGGTGTTTGCTTTGCAAGCAGTTACAGCATATTTTTCATTCAGGAGTATAGATCTACAGTGATACTATCAATTAATCTGGATGTTAATGTAGCAGTATAATGATAATTACATCACTGCAGCCAGCCAAAGGCTTATCAGTAGCAGGCAAGCTGTTTCTCTCCACAGGTAAGCTGTTTTCAATGTAAAACAATGTATAAAGTGAAACAATGTTCACTGCAGCAAGGGGCTAATATAAAACGATGTACACTGCAGCTAGGGGCTGATGTGAAATAATGTTTACTGCAGCATCTTAGGGGCTAATATGCAGCTAGGGGCTAATATGAAACTATGTACACTGCAGCTAGGGGCTAATATGAAATGATGTACACTGCAGCTGCTAGGGACTGATGTGAAATAATGTTTACTGCAGCAAGGGGCTAATATGCAGCTGGGGGCTAATATGAAACTATGTACACTGCAGCTAGGGGCTAATATGAAATGATGTACACTGCAGCTGCTAGGGACTGATGTGAAATAATGTTTACTGCAGCAAGGGGCTAATATGCAGCTGGGGGCTAATATGAAACTATGTACATTGCAGGAACGGGGCTAATATGAAACGATATATACTGCAGCTAGGGGGTGAAGTGAAAAAGTGTTCACTACAGCAAGGGGCTTAAGTGTAACAAATTACTCTGCTAAGGGCTTAAGTATAACAATGTATACTGGTGGCCTAAAATTAATACTGGTAACAGTACAGGACCTTTATTCTGGTTGCAGTACAGGGCCTTTATTCTGGTTGCAGTACAGGGCCTTTATTCTGGTTGCAGTACAGGGCCTTTATTCTGGTTGCAGTACAGGACCTTTATTCTGGTTGCAGTACAGGGCCTTTATTCTGGTTGCAGTACAGGACCTTTATTCTGGTTGCAGTACAGGGCCTTTATTCTGGTTGCAGTACAGGACCTTTATTCTGGTTGCAGTACAGGGCCTTTATTCTGGTTGCAGTACAGGACCTTTATTCTGGTTGCAGTACAGGACCTTTATTCTGGTTGCAGTACAGGGCCTTTATTCTGGTTGCAGTACAGGGCCTTTATTCTGGTTGCAGTACATGGCCTTTATTCTGGTTGCAGTACAGGGCCTGTCATTATACTTAAATTGTTTTCAAATATTCAAAGAGAGAAGTGATACAGGTGTTTTAGATCAAGTTAATGTGTTCTCTTAACAGCATACATATATCAAAAAACATGTTTATTATTTGATGCTTTATGTCTAAAATTGTAACATTTCTTTATCAGTCTAATCAAAGTTTATCAGAAAATTTGTCAAGATATGCAAAGGTGAGTGATGGCTGATGAAATAATTTCTGATAAAAAAATCAAGGCTCATTCATAAAATGGATTATTTCTCTACAGCAGAAATATCAGCAGCATTTCTGATATGGTATTTTAGAAGCTAGATCCTACTGTTTACCTCTATGCATTTTCCTTGCATATTTTAGTAATTTCAAATGAACTGTATTTTTTTAAAATCTTATTAATGTGTTCAAGGTTAAAATATTTTCTATTTCTGACTAATAAAACTAGACCTATCACTGAAGGTGATTAATACCCCCACCAGCAACTTTGAATTTTGAAAAAAAAGTAGTCTGAAGAAAAATTTGAACAAAAACTATCAACTGTGTACAAAGAAATATTTCAATTAATTGTAATCACAACTGGGGTCTTGAAATAAGCTTGCTATACACCAAGTTTGATTACAATATCTCATTCCTAACTCTAGTTAATGTCCGGAAACCATTTTTCTATTTTAAATAACACTATAACGGTGACCTTGACCCTAGGGGGTCCAAATGCAATACCAACCCAGGTCTTCATATAAGCTTCCTATACACCAAATAAGATTATAATATCTCATTCCTAACTCTAGTTATTGTCCGAAAAGCATTTTTCTATTTTCGTAACAGTGACCTTAACCTTGACCCCAGGGGGTTCAAATGCAATACCGAACCAAAGTCTTCATAAAGCTTGCTAAACACCAAGTTTGATAACAATATCTCATTCCTAACTCTAGTTATTGTCCGGAACCATTTTTCTATTTTTAGTAACACTCTAATGGTGACCTGACCCTAGGGGTCCCAAATGCAATACCAACCCAGGTCTTCATATAAGCTTCCTTTAAACCAAATTAGATTACAATATTCATCCTAACTCTAGTTATTGTCCGAAAAACCATTTTTCTATTTTCCTAACGGTGACCTTGACCTTGACCCCAGGGGGTTCAAATGCAATACCAACCCAGGTTTCATATAAGCTTGCTATATGCCAAGTTTGATAACAATATCTCAATCCTAACTCTAGTTATTGGTCCGGAAACCATTTTTCCTATTTTTAGTAACGGTGACCTTGACCTTTGACCCCCAGGGGGGTCCAAATGCAATACCAACCCAGGTCTTCATATAAGCTTGCTATTACACCGAGTTTGATTACAGTATCTCATTCCTAAGTCAAGTTATTGTCCGGAAACCATTTTCTAATTTTTAGTAACAGTGACCTTGACCTTGACCCCAGAGGGCCCAAATGCAATAACCGAACCCAGGTCTTCATATAAGCTTGCTATACGCAAGTTTGATAACAAATCTCATTCCTAACTCTAGTTATTGTCCGGAAACCATTTTTCTATTTTTAGTAACGGTGACCTTGACCTGACCCCAGGGGTCCAAATCAATACCAACCGGAGTTTCCACATAGGTTGCTATTAACCAAGTTTGATTACAATACCTCATTCCAAACTCTAGTTATCGTCCGGAAACCATGATGTGGACCGACAGACGGACCGACCGACCAACCGACCGACCGACAAGCTGACTCCTATATACCCCCCCTAAACTTCGTTTGTGGGGGTATAATAAACACAAGAGGTCAATGATAGCAATTGATCGCTCACATGATACCTATTGCTAAAAAATGTCAGAATCCTTCAATGCAGAATGTCAATTATACACATCTCTACCCTGTCTAATTCTAATTAATCAGATTAGTGGATAATCTACAATAAAAAATTTCAGTAGTATGAAAATATTTCATGAGTATATAGTGAAATATGATAATTTTTATATCACAAGAAGAAAGTAAATAGTCCAGCAAGACAGCAGTGAAAATACGGAAAATATATTTCACTGAAGTGAAAACTAACTTTTTACAGTGAAAATACAGAGAATATGCAAGATTATAATTTCATCAATATTTCTCAATATTTCATTTATATGATATCCAATATATCTAACTCCTGTGTACACATATTATAGATTCTAGGTTGAAATATAATAGTTGAAATACTATATAGAATAAAAGATAAAAATATTGTATTTATTTTATCAAACTATGTAACTATATTTGTTGCTATCATTAATTTTTGTTGGAAGTGAAACAAATATTTTGTCTAACATAAATTCCATGAATATTTTAAATGATACACAACAGCAAATATAAACATTACTGATATATTTAACACAGTAAGACTAGATGCTAATTTAAATACCTGTGAAAAACAATTATTTTCAAATTACACCTGACATGAGATATATGATAGCATGCTGATATTAAACTAATGAAGACTTGTATCACAATATATACATATCTTTATTTTCTAAAACAAGAAGTTTTCTTACATTACAAAGTTATCTTAAAATCTCTTTCCTTTTTTCTTCAATTTTTGTCTTAATTGTTATCAAAACACTATTAACTTTTCATTAAATGACATCAATATGTACTACTGAGAATTTAATAAAAGCTCAAAATATACACAAGACAATCTTAGCTATGACTTAGCAGTTTTTCAACACATCTAATTAACTGTAATTTTATAGCTAACTAAAAAATCATAACAATAGGGAATAACTATGCTGTTAAATGCAAATGGTTATTAAAACAAAGGGATGTAACTGAACAGTTAAACAGCTGATATGTTAAGAAATAAAGGGGAGTAACTGAAGTAGTAAACAACAAGCAAAGGGAAGTAACTATGGGAATACAGGAAACAAAGGTGTGTTAACTGTGTTGCATGTTTTTAGAAGAGCAGAGAAGGTAGAAACATATTTATATTACAGTCACATGCAAGGAAAGAAATGATTAACAGAAAACTTACTATATAAGTAACTGACTGAAGCAAAGTTCAAATTTTATCAGAACCTAAGCAACGGATCGTAACCAAGGTAACCAGTGCAGACTGAGATCAGTTGGTACAACCAGGACATCTGATCAGGGTCTGCATAATGTTTGCTGTGAAGTCAGTTATTTTGAAATTTACTATAAAAATGATATAAATATTTGATATACCAGCTTAAAATGTTAAGACATTTAGGTAAAGAAGGGTTAACAAACATCTTTCTTATTTATAGCAACAGAAGTTTTATTGTTTATAGAAGTGAATACCACCACAAGGGAGGTGAATCTAATGAACTTCACAAAACTTTGCAATAGGAAAACCACAAAGACGTTTTTCTACTAATATCATATTTAATCAACAAACAATTTCCAAGTAACTTAAATATACGATGTATTAAAGAAACATATCATTTTGTCCCTGTGATATGCATTTTATTCAAAACTTGTTTTTTTCCAAACATGATTTTAAATTTCATTAAAGGGTCAAAGAACAAACATGCAACAACAAAACAAGGTTATTTTACCTGTATGATAAGGTAAAAGTAGAAATATAACCCAAATATAAAAATAGATGGACAAAGATGTAATTATGACTAACATTATCAAAATAAAACTTTGTCTACTTATACCTTACTCTCATATACTCATGCCAAAGAAATAGGGGGGATGCAAACATAGTCAGAACAGTACACAGGGAAAGATCAATCAACTAACAAATACAACATGATGCAACATTCAGATTTCAGTACAACTCAATATTAGATAACAGATAAGGAGAGATAACCCATGCCATTTTACAACACCAAAGAGGGACAACTCCTACCAGTGTCAGGACAGTTTGCTTCATCAGAATGATCGTTACAGTCTGGGATTCCGTCACACTTTTGATCTGGATTTATACAGCGGAGGTGATCTTCGCACAATTCCTGACCCTCAAAACACACTGTGCCACCTACAGAGTACAATATCCATACAATACATCAGTTTATTTCCGTGTATAGACTGTAATCAATATATCTCTCAAATGAGATATGGAATTTATCTCACTGAGGATGTATAAGAAACTTTTATAAACTTGTTACAGTCACATTGTGGGTTATATATTTATCTCACCGAGGATATGTGGAGTAATTCTTACACTTGTGGCAAGGTACAACAGTACAACTTTTTTTATTATAAGTTTTTTTTTTTGTATCAAATGAGATATCAGAAATATTTCACTGCATATATGCTAGAAATTTCTAGTATTTGTCCTCAAGCATGATGTATAATGTACAGTTTACACATTGACCATTTTTTGAATATAAGGTAAAAATAACATGATTATTTTTAAATACAAAACAGAAATACAATTTGCTTTTACGATATTCAAGTGATACACAGTGATTGATATCAATTATATCCCACTGCTGAAACCATCTATTCAGTAAATTTATCTAGTATTTAACATTAAAAACAATAGATTTTAATAGGCTAACATAATCATAATTTCAAACTTAATTTCTTATTAGAACAATGAACATTTTGATTGTGTTTAAAGATAACAAATGAGCCGCGTAAATTTAAAAAAATTATCACTCTAGCTTACCACTACAATTTGACTAAATTACATACATGATTAAATAGTTACTAATGTTTAATATAAGATTCCACATGTTTAATAGAATCATGCTAACCATGCATGCAATATTTACAATCCACATACTGAACACAATCTCATGCACTAATGGTGGATATTCAAAAAAAAAATCAATTTACTAAAAACAACAAAGCTTAATACAGCTTCCTTAACAATTGAACTAAAAATAAATTCTGCAGTAACAAAAACAACCACTATAAGTATCAGACATTTTACCAACTAAAGACTTTAAGCATTATTAATGATGATTGCGATGATGATGATTATTAGAATGATGATAGTGATGATGATTATTCCTTTCTATGATGATGACAATGATAATGGTGATGATGATAATGATAATGATGATTACTCATTTCTATGCTGATGACAAATTTTATTTCTCACACTTTCCATTGTATATATCATAATTTTGGATTTTTCCACACACTTTTCATCGAAGTACCCTATTTTGTGATAATTAACATATAACAAATGTTTTTAACATTCATTCAGATATTTATTTTGTGATCTTCAACAAACACACAAAAAACAAGCATATTACAGACATCCAAGATGTTAATAGTGATATAATTAGAGCAAAGTGACATTCAGTTATAAATGAGCCGCGTCACGACAAAACCAACATAGTGCTTTTGCGACCAGCATGAATCCAGACCAGCCTGTGCATCCGTGCAGTCTGATCAGGATCCATGCTGTTCGCTATCAGTTTCTCTACTTGTAATAGGGTTTGTAAGCAAACAGCATGGATCCTAATAAGACTGTGCGCAGGCTGGTCTGGATCCATGCTGGTCGCAAACGCACTATGTTGGTTTTGTCATGATGCGGCTCAAATGTTACAAAAGAGATGTTCAAAGAAGACATTTATTACAAATGTCAGTTACAACTCTTGCTTTTAAAAGACAAATAGGAAAATCATAAATGCAATGACATTTAAGGCCATAAAAGTTCAGATCTGTTTCTGGTCTCAGACTTAAAAAAAAAAAGCAAAACAAAAAACAACTTCTTTTGGCCTTAAAATGAACTTATAACTGGGGCAAAAAAGGAAACAGCCTTTGCAACCGGGAAAGGGCCAAGCACCTGTCAAATCAGGCGGTTAATTAATATTGGAATAATTCATCCCTTGAATAACGCAGCAAACAAGCTCTGAAGATTTTTTGTATTAATTTTTTTTCAAGCCAAGTAAATTCATATTACCCAAGTTAATTCTTTCAACCCAAATAAATTCTTTTAACCCAAATAAATTCTTATAATCCAAGTATATTCTTATAAATTTTAACCCAAGTTCATGCAGTTGTATATTTTAAGGCAATTTACTATTACAGAAAGCCAAGATGTATATTGTTATACAGTATATTGAGGAGAAATTTCAGGCTTGTCATTACAATTATTCAGTAAAATTTTTTGAATTTGAGGCTGAATGTTTTAGTTTTTATCACATGCAACAAACACTATTCTTAAAGGTGTCCCAAAGAATGCATTGTGAGACAGCCGCCTCCCTAATGACAACCCTGCAGACATCATGCCAATACTCAAGTCAAAGAGCTTCGAACAAATTTACAAACAAACAAAAAATAGTGTCATCGATTACAGAACATTTTTTGTGTTTAGTTCTTAAAAAACAGTCCATTGTGAGTTAATGTGCTGTTTATTGCAGAAAGTCAAGACAAGACAGTCCCTGTACTACTGTGACAATTCATTTATTGATATATATAGTTAATTATTACCCCTCACTAACGTTAATTTCTCATAGGCCAATAAGAGTTATTCTTCCTGTTAATTCAAGTGTACCATGTGAATAAAATTTGGTACTGTTACATAGGTATAACAGTACTTTTCCACAAATAAAAACCTATAGAAACAGTGTCCCAATGAAGTATTTGTTTGGGGTAATAAAATAAATAACATATAGGTTTGTGAGTAACAACAAAAATATCATCCCTAGTAAAAATACTGTTACCTATGGCGTTATTTTCCTTGGGAACAATATTTTTACTGTTATATACTCACACACCTATGTATTATTTGAGCCGCTTCATGATAAAACCAACATAGTGCGTTTGCGACCGGCATGGATCCAGACCAGCCTGTGCAACAGTGCAGTCTGATCAGGATCCATGCTGTTCGCTATCAGTTTCTCTACATGTAATAGGGTTGGTTAGCGAACAGCATGGATCCTGATCAGACTTCGCGAATGCGCAGGCTGGTCTGGATCCATGCTGGTGGTAAACCCATAATGTTGGTTTTGTCATGGCACGGATCATTTATATAATGCTATTAAGAAGTATACGAAGGAGAATTCATGCCAATTCCAGATCAGGCTTCATCTTACCAGGACATTCTTTCTCATCTGACTCATCTTCACAATCGGGAAATCCGTCACAACGACTGACCTTTTCTAAACACATTCCGTCCCCACATGTAAATTCTCCTTCAGCACATTTTGCTATATGGTTAAAACGAGACAGAGAAAGCGACGTTAAATGTCATGTTAATATTATGAAAATGTTGTGTTAATGAGTCATGAAATTGTTGTGTTAATTATTCATGAAAATGTTGTGTTAATAAATCATGAAAATGTTGTGTTAATAATTCATGAAAAGTTGTGTTAATAATTCATGAAAATGTTTTGTTAATAAATCATGAAAATGTTGTGTTAATAAATCATGAAAAGTTGTGTTAATAACTCATGAAAAAGTTGTGTTAATAATTCATGAAAAGTTGTGTTAATAATTCATGAAAAGTTGTGTTAATAATTCATGAAAATGTTTTGTTAATAATTCATGAAAATGTTGTGTTAATAATTCATGAAAATGTTGTGTTAATAATTCATGAAAATGTTGTGTTAATAATTCATGAAAAGTTGTGTTAATAATTCATGAAAATGTTTTGTTAATAATCCATGAAAATGTTTTGTTAATAATCCATGAAAATGTTGTGCTAATAATTCATAAATATTTCATCTTGTGTTAATATTATTCAAATGTTCAGTTAAAATATGAAAAAGTTGTGTTAATAATTCATGAAAATGTGATGTTAATATAATTAATGAAAAAATTTTGTTCATCTTAAGATTTAAGTTAAGATTACAAAATGTTGTGTTAATAATTCATGAAAATGTTAAGTTGATATTATGTTCTCTGGGAAGGCTTTTCTTGAGCAAACTTTCTGATATAATAAGATCACAATAGTAAAGTCAGCTATTGTTTAGATGACTTGGAAACTTATGCTCTGATGGTTGATAACTGAAACAAATATGAAACTGCTAAATTTTTTAGCTGAGTTTCAAGTCATGAATAAGCCAAGCTCTTCAATAATAACGGACACTTATTTAATCAGAAAGTTCATACAAAAGCAGTCATTTTACAAGCGGACATGTGAATATTTAAGAATCTACATGTTTATTACCTCCCTTTATATCAGAAAATGTTGATTACCTCTCTTTATCTAAGAAATTGTTAATTACCTCCCTTTATCTAAGAATTGTTCATTACCTCCCTTTCAGAAATATTTATGTGATGCATTAGTGAGACATGTGTTTGATGTCTACAATATGATGGATGACTGATGGAAAGATATAATTTAGTACAAAAAAAATAATATATTAAAAACAATGGCAAAAGAAAAAGGATACAAAACTAGAAAAGATACCAAAAAACCCAAAAAACTGAACTCATTTGTTACAGAAAATAATTCAGTCAATGACACGGTTCATAGTAAAAATAACTGACAATCTGTAATGATACTGAGTGAAGTCTCTTTCCAGTTTTTGAAGTATACAAAATTTGTACAATCTACCCTGTAATAAATTTTCCTTCTATTCAAACTGTACAAACCCGGTTTGCAATAAGAAAAAACAACTGTATATAGTCTAGACGGTATAAATCAAAAGGTGCAAAATAAACGACCATAAAACAGTTTAATTACAAAGCACTGTTTTGTAGGAGTGCTCATATTATTGATTTGTCAATGATTGACAGATTTGTTTGCAGGTACTTCCACGTTTTAATATTATTTTATAGAAGTACACTGGCTAACACTTTCCTGAACATAAAAAAAGCTAAATACTGCAATTTTCAGATAATTTCAAATTTCAAGCATTGAATTATTTCATTTCAGCAAGAATATCTAATTTTTTCATAATTATATCTGTTTTCTAAATGGTAAATTAATTTAGTGATATTCAAGATATAAAATCATAAAACTGAACAAAGTATTTAGACAATTATATCAGTCAACTAACCTAAGTATTTAGACATATATCTGTCAACTAACCTAAGCATTTAGACATATATCTGTCAATAACCTAATTATTTAGACATATATCAGTTAGTTAAAGTTACATTAAATAAATATGTAAAAATATTTTGCCGTCGGCCTAAAAATCAAACATTCTACAGTTTCATTAACCTGTTTAACAGTATTGTTGTAAATCTCGTCAAATATTGTTCATAAATAAGGATTTTAAACGGGAAACCCCACCGTACCACTAAAGTTTGTATACGAATTTTAACATGCAAATGAAGACTATAATGAGCTCGTGTATGCGCTACGTCACAGTTTTATAGTTGCTATCCGAACACAGCAAATGTGATATTTTCTTGTGCAAACACACTTCAACCATTTAAGCTTCACGGTGCACTAAACCTGGGGTTCAGTAAAAGTGAAAATCTCGTAAAAAGATTAAATTTGTATGAAAACATCCGTTACAATGCGGAAATATACCGTTAAATTAGGACTGCTACTTATAGTCATGATTGTTGATTTAATATTGATGTACGGATGATCCGAAGGCGGAGTTTCTCATGCAAACAGAAATTGTATTTCCCATTGCGCCACAATGAGGTTACCTATTTTTATGCTAATAAAACTCATTTTGGTTGTTTGGACATCAAATTAAGACCTGGAGTCGATATAAAACCCAATTTATTAATGAAATGTCGCTATTTAGTTTTTTATGAAATTTATTTAATGTAACTTTAACCTAATTATTGAGACATGTACATTATTATATGATATTATATCATAAAACTGAACAAAGTATTTAGATATATATCAGTCAATTAACCTAAGTATTTAGACATATATCTGTCAATAACCTAATTATTTAGACATATATCATCCATTTAAACCAATTATTTAGACATATATCAGTTAGTTAACCTAATTATTGAGACATGTACATTATTATATGATATTATATCATAAAACTGAACAAAGTATTTAGATATATATCAGTCAATTAACCTAATTATTTAGTCATATATCAGCCATTTAACCTAATTATTTAGACATATATCAGTCAATTAACCTAATTATTTAGGTATATATCAGTCAATTAACATAATTACTTAGGCATATATCAGCCATTTAACCTAATTATTCAGACATATATCAGTCAATTAACCTAATTATGTGAACATAATACAACAGTCACTTAACCCAATTATTTAGACATATATATATATTTAATGCTTAGATCCCTATCCAATTCTAATTATCAGATTAGTGGATACAATAAGTCAATTGACTGTAAATTATAATGCCTATCTTGTAGACTGTCAATGACTTTAAATAACCTTTAGAGAAACTAGGAAGTTAATTTTAGATTGACAAGGATATAAAACAGATGTGAATTTCATCTAAAGTAAACATAATTCATTAACTCTAATACCAGCTAAATACATCTTAGAACCATCCATCATTTATATGCGGTACATGTATGTAGTGACTGAGAACAGTCTATAGTGTGGCTCATGATTTGTGCATTTGAGTTTTTTTTATCCTCGCCACCGGAAAGAGACCACTGGCGAGGCTCATGATGATCAGAGGGCTATTTTATATATAACTATTTATAATACTGCATGTTTGTAACATCCCTTTTCATTGGATAATTGTGACGTTTGTAATAGTTTTATATACACGGCTGCTGTCAATTTATGAAAAAACAAACAAAACAAAAAGGTCAATTTTTTCTAAAGAAAACTAGACGTTGAAAGCTAAAGAAAAGCGTTTGATTTCATTAAACCGATTATGTATCAATTTATGAAGAAATCTCACTTTCTTCTAAAAAAAAAATGCTTGATCATAAATTTGTTGTAAATATTTCTGACGGGTTATATGGCCATATATAAACGGCTGTTTGCAATATACATATTCAATTATACTTGAGGTAACTGCTTCAAGTTAAATCCCTAAAAAATTCTGTTCTATACACAGTGTCAGATGATATAATTGTTAATAAAAGGCCATGAACAACTTAGGTCTTCATTCAATGAATACTGTAGAAATTTCTATGTGATGTTCTTGTAATCTTTACCCAGCATAATATAACCCAAGACACCCCCACCCCAACACTATCCCTCCCCCACCCCACCCAATTAGTTTATATAATTTATATAACTATGTAAAAATTATAAATTCAACTATACCGCTTCATAAAATGTTATATCTCTGGAATGTACCATAAAATATTCAAATTAACTAAAAATATCATAGTTAAGCAATGATATTATAATTAAAACACAATTAAGTTATTTCTCCCCCCTTAAATTTTGGGACACATAATTTTATGCAAAAATGTGTGAAATTTATGTTGCATCTAAATTCCTCCTATATTTTAAAACATGTTATTTTACATAAAGGCTGTTAAATATAACTGATAATTATAAAAATGACTTTTTTTAATTTTGTTTATTAAATCTGAGTTGAAATAAAAATTTAACTACAAAAAAAAGGAGAAATTAAAATTGTATTGTCCTCAGCATCCATTTTCTTTATTGAAGACCCACTTAAAACATACAGATAAAAACAATTAAAAAATCATCTTTCATGGAACAAGTTGTTTTTTACATCCATTAGTCAAATCACTCAATGTTATATTATTAATTGTTTAAACAATAATAATTCAGAAGCATATAATATCATTGTATTGAAATATTTTAATTGTGTTTGCATCGGTTCTATGCAAGGGTAAAATATGCTACAAGGGTTGGGTTGTGGGGAGGGACATAATCTAACACGGGTCATTGCCCCTTAGGTCACTTTGCATAAGAGGTAAAGTATTCATTGTACAAGTTATAATAAAGTCATGTTCTGTTCTGTTCATTTAAAACTAGAACTGCCACTATCATGGCGTGAATACCCCCGCATACCACTTTGTCAGAATCAACAGTGGCCATTTAGAGCTCAAGGACAACCTCCCTGCCAAATCTGAGGTTACTAAGCCAGTGCATTGCTAAGTTATGTATTCTACATGCTTCAAATGTGAAAATGTCAAAATCAATACATTGCGGACAGGACATTCTTTAACAATTGAGAAGAAAAGCTTTTTTATGTCAAGGTCCCTGTGACCTTGACCTTTGACCCAGTGACCTCAAAATCAATAGGGGTCACCTTATAGTCATGATCAACTTCCATGCCAAATATGAAGACTGTGGGTCAAAG